GTTCTGTCTGTTAATTAAACGTGTTTCTTGCCATTTCTTTGGTTTCCTTAAGCTATCGAAATAGCTTAGGGTGTCTATGACATCAGCCGAGCTCTAGTTGGCATTTAAGATTGCATCGCAGTTGCCATTCGAAACTAATGCACTTAAATTTAATGGCAGACGCCATAAAATAAATTGCTACTCAATTATTTTTAGCACGTCTTTATGCAAAACTTTTGGTCCAACAACAATACAACAATTAAGTGGCTGGCGCCCTCTATCTATCTATCTACCTTTCTCGCCCTGCACTAGCTACCTTTCTCTGGCAACTATTGAGCGTTTCTTTTTGCTTCCACGTTCTCGTTGTTCTGCTCTCTAATTTGGTCTTAGTGCATTTTGCAACTCGGTTAAAAGTCATTAGGCCAGGCTGACAGTTTTGCCCTGGCCAAGTGCAAAAACTTTTTAACCATGTAGAACTTTTATTGAACTCATTTTTCTTCATTGCTGTTGTTGTTGTTGCTGTTGTTGTTGTAGTTGTGCTGGGCAAGTTTGCTTGTTGTTGGCGCTGCTTTATGGCCAGAACTTAAAGCTGTTACCGATTCTGTGCTCCAGCTAAAAACTATACGAGGCCATTAGGCAAATATGTCAGCAGCGTGTGGCAATTAGCCAAGTTATGCGATATCAAACGTTGGCCAAGATATTTTTCTTAGCTCCGCTCGCCGCTTCCATTTTTATGGCCGACCATAATTAAGTTGCTCTAAACGCTGCGCACAGTGAATGGAAAACGTTTTTATGATAAATTGCGCGATTTATGTTTACAATATAAAACAACAACAACAACAACTAGATACATTGGGAGATATGCGTGTGTGTGATCGCTCATCATGCCGCTGCAGCATGTCAAAAGCCAAAGGCCTTGTCGCACAACAATCATTAAAGTGCGCCCCTATAAAATGATCTAAGACCATAAGCAACGCGCTGGAATTATCTCTGTGTGGGCTGCAAAACATGCCAAATATTATAGGTTATTTGTGGGTGCCATATATATACAAATGTATGTATGTATCTATAATTTACATATATATGAAGAGAGATTTATAGTACATTTATTTTGAGCAGTTTTGTGTGTGGAAAACGTTTATTTCAAATTATATTAATACGCTTTCTAGTTAATCCTGCTGCGTATTAAAGCTGACTAAGCTATTAGACATTGATGTATGCGGGACTAGAAAACATGGAAAACATTTTCCAAATGGTTTATTATTTATTTAAAAATTA